GCGTGAGTGCGTGTGTGCGTGTGCGCGTGTGCGCGAGTATGTGTATAAATGCGTACAAAAAAAAACATGTACACTTTTATTTATTTTTTTTTTTTATAAATATTTCCAAATATTTATATATGCGCCCCTCTGTGTGTGTATCTCTCTATATATCTCTCTCTCTATCTATATATATATATATATATATATATATATATATATATATATATATATATATATATATATATATATATATATATATATATATATATATATATATATATATATTGCTCGAGAGAGAGTTAATGACTTAAGTCTTAACCGATACGCTTAATAGGTTAAACATGAAGAAAATTGTTTTTAATTAGAGCAACATAATAAAAATACTTTAATACCCTTGTTATTAATTATTTTTCAATTAACTAATTAACACGCTTTTACAGGGATGCGCTGTATGAAAAACAACGCTTTTTGTTCGGTACAGCGCGATTTGTCAGCGCGATTTTTCTTCGGTGTAGAATTGTCAAAGATGGGGCATTTGGCAGTCAAAAAAGAAAAGGAGAATTTTCAATTATATTTCCTTGGAATAATCTTCTTCTCGACCGGCTACTAAAACCCTGTTACAGAAGAAGAAGAAGAAAGCAAGCAAGTTTTTGAGCATGGATTTCGGGAGTATGGATCGACGGCAACTGACGATGACGGGTTCGGGTATGTCCGTTTTGCTAACCCTGCACTTCACCTTCCCGCTGTTATCACAGCACCTCTTCTATTGGAAGAATCCCAGTCAGCAAAAGGCCATCGCCGTTATCATACTGTTGGCCCCGCTTTACGCCGTTAATTCCTTCGTTGGGTTACTGGATACCCAAGGCAGCAAACCCTTGTTCTTGTTATTGACCTCCGTTAGACACTGCTATGATGCTTTGGTGTGTGCCCTTTTCACCCTTCTTCTTCTTTTTTATTTTTTTTATTTTTTATTTTCTTAATGTAATAATGTTTCATTTGTGTGGTGGGTTCAGGCTGTTGCGACGTTTTTGGCTTTGATTTATAGTTACTTGAATATTTCCATGAGCAGCAATGTTGTGCCAGATGAGATCAAAGGGAGGGAGATTCACCATTTATTCCCGATTAATCTTTTTCAGGTGATCGACGCTTTCCTCTGTTTTACGATGAACTAAATTCGATGATTTTTTAATTTTATCTGGTTATGATTTTTCAAGAATTTGATTCAAGATTGGGTTTTTTTTATCCTAATTTTGTAAGAAGTTTTCGTTTATTATTTTTGGAAATATGCAGCCAAGAACAGCGCATTTGAATCACCAAACGTTGAGACTCCTCAAGCAATGGACATTGCAGTTTGTTATTATCCGCCCCGTCTGTTCTATATTGATGACAGCACTGCAAATTATCGGGATGTATCCGAGTTGGCTCAATTGGACATTCGTCGTCGTTTTGAATTTATCGATTTTGCTGGCCATGTATGCGCTGGTTGTTTTCTACCGTGTCTTTGCCAAAGAATTGGAGCCGCATAAGCCGCTCACAAAGTTCATCTGCATCGTAGGAATTGTTTTCTTCTCCTTTTGGCAGGTCAGCGAAAATATCTTCCCTTTTTCCAGCGTTATTATTTCCTTATGTAAACAATGTTGGTACAATCGTTTATTCACTCGAATTGTGTTTCTTGATTATGGAAAATGATCGTACTTCTTTGTCAATTGGTTAGTAGCAATACTCTTGTTAGTTTTACTAAAATGCCCCTGATGGAATTATACAGGGACTAGTGCTCGACATCCTTGTAAAAACGGGGACTATTAGATCGAATCATTTCTGGTTAGATACGGAGCACGTTGGAGAAGCAATACAGCATGTGATAGTGTGTGTTGAGATGGTACTCTACTCGGTTCTCCAGCAATACGCGTACCATGTTTCACCTTACAGTGGAGACTTAGAATCGAAACTCAGGCAGAGGAAGTATTGAAACAACTAAACAAGGCATATTAAAACAATGTAACTTGATCCTTTTGTACGATTATCGCATGTTACTAAACTGCTAGACATTTGTACAGTTAACGTTTTTTTCGATGTTTCCCTCCTTTCGTTTTATTCGAAAACGACATTAAATATGTCCAAACACTTGCATACTGCAGTTATACATGCAACGAGCAAAATAGTTATTAGCTACTGCTCCAACTTTAACTACTGATAATAGTCATTTCTGCACCAACTTCGAACCCTCGTAAGAGAAAATGCGTACCGCGTTTTCATAGCTCAGCTCGGAAAGTTCTTTTTCTTCCATCTCGAGTAAACGTGCCACATAGGCAAGCACGTGATGAATATTAGCCGGATGGTTAATATTCTCTTCGGAGGACGAATTGTTTTCTTCACCAATAACAACCTCTTTCGAATTCGAAACTCCACTTCCAATAAAGAACTCCAATTTCGAGTCAACCAATTTCGGTCGAGCATCTGGTGCATCAGTTTCCAACAGAATCCTCTCACGAGGAACACACTTCAACATCTTCTTCGCCTTGCTCTCCTTCATTGACATAATAAAACCCGAAAAGGAGAAATACGCACCAAGCTTATATAATTCCGGAACCATCTCAGCCGAACCAAGATACGAGTGCAATATCACCCCACAGGGAAAGGGCCCCAACGATTTCAATATCTCCAAAAGATCGCCAAAAGCACGCACGCAGTGTACAGAAGCCGGTTTATTCAGCTCCTTTGCAAGTCGGAGCTGCTGACTAAAGATTTCAACTTGATCGGTGAAATCGATCTTCTTCCCAAACGAACCTTTGTCCAAACCAATCTCTCCAACTGCAGCAGAGGGAGTTGATGCGAGGAAACCCTTCAAAGTGTCGAGCCAATCGGGGGTTCTATCGGAAATAAACCAGGGGTGAAGGCCAAAATTGGGAATAACAGAAGGGTAGGTATCGCTCATCTCCTTAACCAAATGCCAGTCTTTCTCGGAAACTCCATTGACGGCAAAATTAACTACTCCGGTATCGAGGGCCTCTTTGATTAGTTTTGGGGCTGATTTTAGAATTCTCGAATCTTGCAAGTGACAGTGAGAATCGAAGAGTTTAATCATCGATCCGAATTTGACGAAGGGATAGCTGCTGCAACTTATTATCCCCAATTTTCGAGAAGCAATTTCCAATTGATTGATTTCTACCGATTGCCGAAACAGGAATAACTATTTGGTAAATTTTAACCTAATTATCCAAAGAGTAATTCGAAAATAAACCGAGATATGAAGAAACCTGGAGAGAGAGAGAGATCGAGCGGCGGTGCTACAGCTGGATAACTGAATTACACTTGCTCTTCCATACGAGACCGGGAGTTCAATCTGCAGTTGCAGTTGTCCACAAAAAGTCGGAAGCCCGAAGCCCAAATCTAAGTTGGGCTTTAATGAAAACAAAACAATAATCAAGCCCATCAAAAGTCGGGCCTAAACGAATATATTATTATTTATTATTTATTATTATTTTTTTTTATAAAACATTTTTTTTTTAAATAATTAAAATCTCATATTCCGACAGTGGGATGTAATAATTAATTCATTTGTCTGTTTTACTGAAAAACGTTAATTTGATGTCAACATGAGAAGCCGGTCATGATTTGTTGGTTCATCCTTTAATTAATTTCTCTCTCCATTTCATTAGTAAACCTAAATGCCTCCTAACAAATAATCATGTGATCCTACACATGTTTGAGGCTATAAATTAAGGTTTTAATCAAGCAATTTAACATACCAAAATCAATTTAAGGTCGAAAACCTTAAACGAAGAGAGAAAAAAAAAAGGAAAAGAATAATTATTTGAGATAGACATCAAGAATCGTTACAATCCTATCCAATCAAGCATCATCCATTTTTGCTCCGAGCACACCCAGCGAGTAACTGTTTGGTGTTGACGAGACTTGTATGACGTGGATGAGACGTGTTTGGATAGCATTGTTAACGATCGTTCTTCGTAATCCTTTTTATATATACACGGTACGCACTATTTTTTCTTTTTTATCGGTGGTACATTTTATTTATTAATTAGAAAGGAAAATAATTCTAATGTTTAACAAATATTATTCTATTAAATTAATCAGACGGAAAGAGATACTACTAATTTAATGAAATATAGTGTTTAATAAATATTCATGTGCATCGGATGAAGTACTAATTTGTGATGGAAAATGAAATACCAAATAAGCCCAATAAGCGTGGGCCAATGCCTTTCCCTTTCCCGCATAAGGGATCGATTTGTAACTTTTTGTCGGCATTGTTATTCTTCAATATATTATTTTTTTAGACAATTATAGTTTCCATTCCTCAAGTTTGCATTAATTTCACATTTGGTTCCTTATATTCAACATAAAATACATTTAGTTCCTCATTTTTGAATAATTTCACAAAAAATACAATTGAGATTCCCTTACTTTTATTTTCTTGTACAGAAAATGAGAGGTTGGAAAATCAGTGATTGTAACTACCTACTAGTTTTTTTAGTAAATACTAGTGATTTTTTTAACGTGTAAAATTAAACTCACTAAAGAGTGTATTTATTTACACCGTCCGTTTCCTTTTAAATGGGTAAATTAAAAATATTAGTTTTAATAGAAAAACACAAACTTATCATTTACACATATTAAAAAGGCTATTAAATATTAGCTGCAGCTTACTCCTTTGACTTTCCAGCACCGCCCAACGACTCCCGTTCAACAGACTGTTACTTGCAAGTTACAAGTAGAGATCAGGTTTACCGAAACGGCAGCGTTTTTGCACTGATTTATTTATTAATTTTTTTTTTTTTTTTTGAGAAAAGTCAGCACTGAATTATAGAATATATATATAATAAAATATTCAAAGATTCCTTCGATGGCTCTGGAATCAGCTATAAGACGAGCTCCACAGAAATTACAAAAAAAATTCCGTAAAGTAAGAAAAACCGCAAAATTTAACAACTAGAGCTCGTTTTTTCCTACCGATATTTCACAGGTCGAACTCATCGTACATAATGTGTCGGTTGAAGTTTACTTATTTCGTATAATTTCTAAACTTATCGCGTACGAATGAAATTTATATTCAGTACACATATATGACAACGAAATTCTTTACGAGAAAACAATAGACAACAACAATTATGGTATTTTCCACCGCTAAACCAATTGCAAGAATTGGACCACTCAATTTTTAGTTTTTATTTTCTTATCTAAATCTAACACATTGACTATGTGAGATCTATCAATCTATCTATCTGTATATAACCTGCGGTCAAATTTAAGGTACGTCAGTGTTTTTAATTAGTTTCTCATCACGTACGTTATGGCTTCGCTGCATGCCTTATCTATTTATTATTATTATCTTCCATTTATTTTTCTTTCTTTAATTTATTCTATTTTAGAAATTATTAGACATGGGTTGCAATTAATTCAACCGTTACATCTCATAGGAAAAAAATGATTTTCTATTATTATATGAATTTTTTCATGAAAAAATGTAAATTATAGTAACTCAACGATCTGTTAATTAGGATTGCGGATATGAGTCTGATGGCAACAAAAAACCAATATTTATTGAAGTTGAAATACCCATATCATCACTATAAGTACTCGATTCTTATACTTTGCACTAACTTACAATTGTGAAAACAAATTGAACTATATATACGCACGAAGACAATATTGTATATTCTTGTTTTCATGCATGATACGACGTATCATAGTAAACACGAACGAATCTTATTTAAAAATTAAAATAAATGTCGGTAACTTATCCTCATCATATATATATCACCTCCTATTAATTAAAGAATTCCAATTAATATGTGGCCCAATATTATTTGTTTCAGTATGAACAATTTGAACGTTGAAAATACATATATATATATATATATATATATATATATATATATATATATATAATATTATTAAATGTAAAGCATTAAAGGAGTCAATAATTGATTCAATTGTATAACTAATTTGGCGATTGTGATCACTGTTACAATACAAGGGCAAAACAGTATTTAATTGGTTTCACAAAAAGAAAAATCAAATTTTATTATTATAAAGTAAAGGGGCAGAATTTAATTAAATATCTCCTAATGATGGTTGGTATAATTAAATATCTTATAGCTAGAGGCTGGCAGCTAACTAATTAATATTAGGGTAAACTTCACTAGTAGAAAAAAGGCTTTTTGCTACCACTCAAATTCGTAGCGAATGGTCCACTTTTTGTAGTAAAAGACTTTTTGCTACGAATTTGCTACAAATTTTCTCCGTAGTAAATACGGGCGTGACAAAAAATTTACTACGAGAAATTATCGTAGCAAATACTTTTTTACTACGACACAACTAGCATTTACTACGACCATCGATTTGTTACAAATACATGACTATTTGGTACAGCATATTTTGTAGCAAAAAGGTTGTCCTTTGTTGCATCCAAACCCTACCTTTTACTACAACCACCTCCCGTAGTAAAAAATATATTTTTTATACTACAACTTTTATTTGTAGCAAATACTAGAATTTATATACTACAAAAGTTATTTTTAGCAATAAACCTAAAATATATAATTACACACCTGAAATATATTCAATACAAGTCTTATATAATTAATTAAATGATCATAAAATACAAAAAATATTATATCTTCAAATCATACAATATACATCTTACAATGAATCTTAATATAAATTAGAAGTTTAAGAAAGCTTATTATGTTCCCCTTGTCCAAAACTAACTAAGATTAACTGCTATAAACCAATTATTCATTCATTTGCTCCAATATTTTCTTTTTCCTCTATCGGCCGTCTTTAAGCTTTTGCAACTTCTGCTATCTTCTTGTGCCCACCTTGTTGGTGCAGGTGCAAAAGCTTATGAAATGTTGTAGCCACAGGATGCGATGGCTTTAAGCAAACACCTACCTTCTGATTTAGAATGAATTTTGTAATGTCACCTAAATGTACTCTTTGTTGTTGGATGCCATTTGCTCACTAATTTTCTTCTATCAGCTGCCTCTTTCTCTGCACAAAGTTAATTCAAAAGAATTGGGATTATATTATTGGTCCTTGTAATTGCATATTTTCGCATTATCAAACGAAACACCAACTCGTGTTATAAAATCCAACTTTAGAAATCATTACAATTGACGTATATTTGTAAAGAAAATGAGACTTAAACAAACAGAAATGCACGGAGACAGTATTCGACACTTCTTAGTAGAAAAAACAGAGTGGATTACAATATGTATACCCCGAAAAATGTCATAACCTAGTTTGAACTGACACTATGAGACGAATGGCAATGAAGTTAGCATTTATATCACTCTAAAGCATCTCAAAAGTTAAAACTTTATAGACAAGATTAGATTAAATTCACGTAATCTAATACAACACGTTTACAACATTTCATCCCACAATTAAACTCATCCTTGAAACAGTGAGGAATCAAATAATTTATCAAATGCTTCAACAAATAAGAATCCATTCAGAGCACTATTCTTCTCACATAAACATAGAGCAGATAAAGTAATAATTAAAACACAAATGGAGTTGTCCTACGAAATCGAAAAAAGATCACAAACCTAGTTTGCTTAACCTGTCAAACCACTTTGAAAACCCCGAATCCGGAGCTCCGGTTTCCAGCTAAATCACAAGAGAAAGTCACAAGACGAAGTCAAGCAGATGAAAAAAACCAAAAAATGTCAAATCAAAATCAAGTACCTAAATTGTGTTCTTGATCTTTGTCGACTGATTTATCAACTCTTTAGTCGGAACTTATGCATTTTGTATTCCACTATTTAAAACTAATGGTGGCTTACTTTTCTTCTCTTGTTTGAACTGAAATTCCAAAATTTATCAGGTTTAGCATCTAATAAAATAGTAAATTGGTGTAAATTGTCCACTAGAAAATGAAGAACAACAAATTAACACCAAAACCAAAACTAAAACCAAACAGAAAATCTAGAAACAGATCCCTAATTTTTTTCATCTAAACTAACGAGAACAAATGGGTGTTTGAAGAAGACAATATATATCAGTAAATTTAGTAATATAAACATCAATTCATACCATTAAACTGAAGAAAATGTCCAATACTACAAGAATGTATCAAATTTATGAGTAAAAATTACCTTATTTTTGTTTTTCGAAGATGTTGAGCGATCTTCCGCAAGGCATGCTTGAATCGAACGGACACATATGCAACGAAGAATAGATAGTCTGGAAACGAAGAACATCCATCGGCAATTGAAGACAACAAAACATCTGCTCAAGTGGGCAACCGATTGGCTACGGCGGATCAAGAGAGAGAGAGTGAGAGAGAAAGGAGAGGGAGATGGGGGAAGGGGCCGTCGATTTTATGGTTTAGGGATTTGGGCAATTTTGAAGAAACCCTTTTAATTTTAGTTTGTTACTAATTCATTTTAGTTTTTACTACAAAAAAATAATTCTTTTACTACGGGTAAAATACCGTAGTATAAACTCAATATTTACTACAAAAACTCCGTAGCAACAAACAAAACGACTTCGTTTTATTCATCCTTTTGCTACGCTAAACTCTCCGTAGTTATAAATATCTTTTTTGGAACAATCATTTACTACAGTAACATTCCTGTAGTAAAAAACTAATATTTGCTACGGTATTTTGGCGTAGTAAAAAAATTTGTAGTAACAAGCTATTTTTCTAGTAGTGCTTCATTTTACCTACCTGTACTATAGCCAACGTATAAAATACCCCCTCGAACTTCAAAATGAATCAAAACAGTCCCTCCGTTAAAAATCCATCCACCTCTGCTGACATGGCACATTGACTTTTTAAATTATATCCAGTGGCATGACAAGTGGCTTTTTCCGGACAATTTTACCCCTGCTGTATATTTTTATATATGGTCTAATTAGAAGGGTTTTTGTGAATCAGTTAATACAATTAAATATTTAATTTTTATTTTCCGTCAAATAATTAAAATAAACTGTGAATTAATATATAATTTTTATTCTAATTTTAAAAGTAAAGTAATCTCATTAAATAAAAAAACACAATATAATTAAAACTTAAAAGAAGTCATAATCCAATTTTCTTGGTCAACCCCTCCCAATGGACTCGTCTCCTCCGCAGCTGCATTAACATTATCGGCATCAAAGAAATCCTTACAGAAAAACAGTCAAAGGAAAAAATCATCACTCCCCAATTCGAATTCTTCAAGATTCAAATTCCTGGAGGACAAGTGCCACTGAGAAACGAACTCGGAGGGAAACCAAAGAGAAACCCAATACAAATCCCTTTTATAAAGGTCACAAAATCAGAAATCGGGGCACACAAGAAACGGGTTGATGTTTTCGTCGGATTCCGCCGACATCTTGGCCGTGTAGGGCGGAGCGAAGTCGGAGCTGCGCTGGTTTCGCAACGATGAGTTCAAATTTCTTCTTGATTTCATTTTTTCCGGTCGCCACCGCCAACGGAAACCCAAATAAGGGTTTTTGAGAAGCTTGACCTCCTGCCGGAAAAACATGAGCGAATCCTTGATTTCAGATGTGTGAAAATAGGTTTTATTGTTTTATGGGTCATGGTACTATAGAGAAGAGGAACAATGGTGATGTGTTTGATGAACATCACTTCTCTAGAAAGAAAGAAAAGGGACGAAGAAGAAAGGAAGAAAGGGATGAGGGAGAAAAAGTTGGAGAGATAATATGACTGGACAAAAATGTAAAAACACATAAAAAACTAACGGAGTTAAAAATTGTAACGGTTTTAACGTTGACTCAAAATTCGGAGGGGCTATTTTGGTTCATTTCAAAGTTCAGGGGGGTATTTTATACGTTGGGTATAGTTCAGGTAGGTAAAATGAAGTTTACCCTTAATATTATTATAAAGAAAATAAAAGACGAATAATTGAAATATAATCGCAATAATTTCAGAGGTACATATATAAATATCCAATC